CGCCGCTCGCATGGACGGCCGCGCCCGGGGCCGCTCAGGAGGCGGCGGCGGCGGCCGCGCGGGCCGCGTCCCGGCCGCCGGGCTGCGGGCGGAGCGCGCGGGGCCTGGGCGCCGAGCCCGGAGTCATCCCCGGCGCGGGCCGCGGGCGCAGCGGCGGGCGCTCGGAGGGCCGGCCCGCGGCCCGCGCTCCATGCTGCCGCCTCCCGCCGCCGCGCTGCTGTGGCGGGCGCTCCTCGGGCGCCGCTCCGGGCGCTCCCCTGCGCCTTCCTCCGCGAGCCGAGAGTCTCCGAGCGCAACTTTCTCTCCCCCTCGCTCCTCGCTGCTCAGGGGTCGCGGCGAGCGGTTTTAGTACGCGGGTCGCAGCTTTCTCATTGTGCGCCAGCGAGGCCGATCCCGGCTGTCCTTTTCCTCCCGCACTTAGTCTAAGAGGAAGAAAGCAAACAAGACCGAGGAGTGAAGCCCCCGTACATACATGCGCCGGGGGGAGATGTCAGGCGCTGCTCCACCTTCCAAACAGTCACACATCAAACAGTGTCACCCCGCCGGAGCGCCACTTGCTGCCCCGCGCTCCCCGCGGGGCTTTGCCGCCAGGATCGCCGTCTCTTCCTTTGCGAAATCTAATGCAAACACATTTTGATCATGGATTTTTGGCCGGTCTTGATCTTCCAACAGAAAAGATTTGAAAAATACACAAAAAGCACCCCCCTCCAAAAAAAAAAAAAAAAAAAAAAGCCAACAACAACCCGGAGAGTGTGTGCGGAAGGGCGAAGAGCGGACATTCACTGGGTGGGCGACATGAGCGTGGACTGTCCCCCCCAAACTCCTGGGAGAGAGGGAGATGCACTCTCGCTCTCTTCTCTTTTCAGTGAAATATAACACACATTCGGATCGCAGAGCTTTCAGACAGTCTCAACTGATAGACAGACACATCGAGCTGCTTTTCCTGCTTCAGTTTTTACTCCTCCTCCTCTCGCCAACGTCACCCTGACAATTACAAATAGGTCTCTCACAGACCATACCTGTCAATCTTTTTAATTGCTTTGTTTTCTTTTTTTTTTCTTTCCGGAGCTAAACAATGTGACACAAAAAAGAAATCTTAATACAGCATAACATAAAAGATTGCACATTGGAGAAAGACATTGAGGGGGTTGTTATTGGAATCCACTGGCTGATACCGGGTGAAACCCATGTGTTGTAAGCCAAGTTAAGTAGACATTAGTTCCTGCAGATTTTTAAACCTGTAAGTCCACCCCCCCCCCACCGAATGTTCATACACACGGAGCCACGTGGACACAGACTACCCTTGGATGAGAACGTCAGGACATTTGAGATAAAAATACCTGTGTCACTTTCGCAGTCTTGGTTTGGGGGTTAGGCTTGATTGGGGAGGGGCACTGTGTGGCTTTTTTATTTTGGTGAGTCTAGGTAAGTGTAACACAAGAGGGTTTTTTAAATTAAAATGTATACCTTTAATTCAAATTTTAGAATGGGCTCATCTCATTATACAAAAATGTGGAAAATATTTAATTTGGCCCTTGTATGAAAAGTGAATTTACTTGGTCAATATAGAGAATTAGGGAGGAAACTGACAGGAAGGAAAGGCAGATCTTTCCAGCTGGGTTATGAAATAAGGTCTTCATACATAATTGCAATGTCTCCAATTCAGTGAGGTCCTTCGGCACCCCCACCCAGAAGTTTAAATGCTTATATGATCAGAGAATTTGGCCCTCGAGTCTCCAATATATGTGTTCTTCCCCAGTGGGAAACCTGTAACAGCCTTGTAGAGGATACTTAAAACATTCGTGGAAAAAAACACGAAATCTAGGCCAAAACAAATAAAATGGCTTAGTTCGTGCAACTTGCTTGGGACAGACAGGCTTAGGGCAGAAGGCGCAGGCGAGGCGTTCCGGGAATGGGGGGCCAGGAGTCCGGGACGCAGGGTGCTCTGGGCGCCCCCGCCCCGCGTTTGGTCCTTGTGCGCGTGCACTGGTGGCGGGGGCTCCCCGCGCGGCTCGGGGGCCCCCGGCCGTGCCCTGCCGCCCCGGCCGCGCTCGGGGTTGATTCGTACCACCTTGCAAGGAAGTGAACGCTTCGCACGGGAAGGGGAGGTGCCTGCGCCGGCCGCCCGGCGACGCGCCGCTCCGAGGACGCCCCGGGCCGCCGCCGGCTCGGGGCCGCGGCGATCGCGGGACGCGCGGCTCCCCTCGTCGCCCCCCTCACCCTTTTTTGGAGGAGTCAAATCCGGCTTTTAGAGCGCGAGGAGGGTGGGGATATCCGGTGCCTCCCGGACGCCGGGAGAAAGGGGGAGGGCGGAGAGGATCCGCGGCCAGTCTGCGCCGAGCAGATTCAAACCAAAACAAAAAGATTAAAGGAGCAGCGGCCGGGGTGGGAGCGATCCCCAGGCCGGGACCCCGGGGGTGGCGCGTCCGGGGACCACGGGGGCTGTGCGGACTGCGGGCGCTGCGCGCGGCGGGGAGGGGGGGTGGAGCGGGAGCCAGTCCTTGTGGGGAGGGGGGGGAGTCGAGGGGAGCACGCGGGCCGGAGGAGGGGCGGACCCGCCTGCTCCGCCCGCCCGCTCGGAGCCGAGCCGAGTCGAGCGGCCCGGGCTGGGCGCGACCCCGGCCCGCGGCGGCGCAGAAAGCGGGCAGAGGCGCGGGCCATGCTGCGGCTGGCGTCCGCCGGGGCCAGAGCCATCGTGGACATGTCGTACGCTCGCCACTTCCTGGACTTCCAGGGCTCCGACATCCCCCGCGCCATGCAGAAGCTGGTGGTGACCCGGCTGAGCCCCAACTTCCGCGAGGCCGTCACCCTGCTCCGGGACTGCCCGGTGCCTCTCCCCGGGGACGGAGACCTCCTCGTCCGGAACCGGTGAGCCCGGCGCGCGCCCCCCGCCCCGGCCGGGCCCCGGCCCGCTCTGCGCCGCTTCCCGGCTGTCCCGGGCCCGCCTGCGTCCCCGCACTCCGGCGAGTGCTCGGGAGCACAGCCTGACTTTGCGAGATCCCGGGAAGTTGAACCCGCCGCCATCTGGCGAAGGCGAACGTAATGTGACTCTTGCTAGTGTGAATACCCGATGCCACCGAACGTCCTCATAACTGAGGGTTATTTTAATTTGGGATTCCCCTCCCCTCCCCCAGTCCTCCCTCCTCCCCCTCCCGCTCCCGAAATAAAACCGACGGGACCCAGAAGGGGAGGCTCCCCGCCCGGCCCACCCGCGCGCACCCACGGCTCCTGCGTTCCCATAATCTTTAGTGTGGACCGGGAACGGGCTGGACACAAACTGCGACGTTTAGGTAACGTGCTTTGGAGGAAGGAGGCCGAGGACCCGGCTGGTTTTTCCTGTGCGCTCCAGGTTGGCAGCCGCCTCGCAATGGCGGAGCCCTGTCGTTGGGTGCGTTGGTGTGCACCTCGCCGGTGTCGTCTGCGTGTTGTCAGTGCTGTATGGCTGTTGTCTGTTCCCCAGAGCCTACCGACAGGCCCGTGGCGCGTCCGGGGCGGCTGGGTCAGGGCCGGGGTGGGGGCACCGCTGCGTTTGCCTGCGCGTTTTGCAGACCTCTGGGTGGTACTCCGGTGGGTTTCCCTACCTTCTGATCGCCTCTTCCACCTCCACACTCCCTACCTGACTGTGTCTACAGCTCTCTCATCTTTAGTAACTGGTGAAGCGCGGAAAGGGAAGGGACCTCACTCTGTAGGAGCCGTGCCCTCTGCTCTCTGTTCGCTTGGTCCCCTAGCTGCCGACTTGCAGCCAGGGCGTTCGCCATTCCTCGATCCCCTACGTTAGAGCAGGACTCGCCCGCCTGCTCTGGCGCGTGCGAGGGGTTACAGTGTTGTATGTTTCCTGCGAGGGAAGGAAGGAGTGAGTTCTGAGTGTAACTATGTTGTAAATTGTTTCTTGGGAAGTACTGTAAGACTCCTGCAAGGCGTGAAAGGCAAAGTGTACCCTACCCGAGTGGCTTGATGCAGCGTTTAATCCGCTTATTTTAGAGATTCGGATCAGCCTTCCAAAGACTGCAAAATTGAATAATTCTGGTCCTGATGGAAAACTTCTGGAAACCTGTTGGAAACGTAAAAATTGAGGGAGCCAAGAGTGGGACTGAGTGGAAGCTGGCCAGGGTGGGGTGCAGAGTGCCTTAAAGGTACATGTGTGTGTCCTAAAAGTTTTTGTGGGTTGAAACAGGGCTGCAAAGGATTGCTTCATTATGGGATTAAGCGCTAAAGCTGTTGAGATAAGGACTTGCTTCCTACCAAGTTAAAAAGAAGGAACACACGCAGAACACACAAGACACATGAGTGATTTGCTGGAAGTTGAGATGAGAAGCAGGCTGAAAAGCTCAGCCTTTAACAAGCAAAAAGTTTGACACGGGCTGTTTTCTTCTCTCGTAATTTTTCTGACCACGTACACTACTGACTGTGAGCACTGATGTAAAAACACACAGCACTGCTTAAATAACATCCCCTTCAGATACCGGGTGTGCAGGGGGGAGGGGGCGACTGAGCTGAGCTGGCAGAAGAAGGTGTGAAGTTAAAGGAGGACCAGCTGCCGCGGAGTGGGACCACCCGCCAGCGCTGTCCGAGGAGCTGCTCCCGCTGGGCAGCACCAGGTCGATGGCTTCTCTACCTGTGAAAGTACATCAGGTCCTCGGATTGTCCCCTCCTCTGGCTCCTCTCCCTGCTCCCTCACCGTCCCCTCTTGCCTTCTCCTTCCCCGCCAGTGCCCCGGTGCCCCCTGCGCCAGGTCACGGGGATGGTCCCTGAATTAGGTGGTCAGGATTCTGGATCGCCAGCTCCCCCACAGTTGGAGCTCCTCAGCTTGGTTTGCTTTAGAATCCATGCCTGTCTTTTCCCCCACATATGCCGAGAGTCCTTTAACACAAGTAGTATATCTATATGTACAACTTGACCTCTAACTTCTACGGTGAAGCCCGTGTCCGAAGGAGAATGGAGCCAGTTTTCTGCATGTTGAGAGGAGGTGAAATCTTTGTATCCCCTTTCCCTACTCTGTGGAAAATCTGCTTCTATCCCCAAATTGGAAGGAGATCCTTTACACTCGGCAAATAGCGTCTGGAGAGTTGGAATTGTACAGATTTTTTTTTTTTAAGAGCAGACTGCAAGTCTGTTTGCTGCAGGTTAGTTCATTCTAATCCCAGACCAAATCTCCTCAACAGTGTTAATTGTGTAAAAATTTCATGCAAGCGCTTTTCATTTTTATCATAATAAAAATCTGCTCTAAAATGAATGACATAGGCATACATTCACTTGTTCGGAAGGGTGTTTGGAGATTTTAACTGTGTGCTGCCTGACTTTTCCTTTCAGTTGAATATTTGCACATCTCATCCCATCTTAACAGAAAATAGAAATTCTGTATTCATGGAGAGGGACGTGCTTTTAAGCCAGTCGTGGATTTAGAATAATGAAGTTTATTCCATTTAGGAAAACTGTGAGAGGGGTGCTTAAAAGCCCTGCAGAACATGTAATTGATGTTCCTTTATCCACTTCTCACTTTCATACATCCGAGGACAACTTCACATTCCCTCCCAATGCCCAGCCCTCAAGAAGAGAAGGAAGAAAGGCACCCTCCGGTTAAGTCAGCTTGCGTGCGATTTTTAGCTTTTTTTCCAAGGATAGTGACACATGATTTCGTTTCCAAATATTTCTAACGATTTTCTGGTCAAGTGTAAGATAATGGAGCAAAGATTTTATAGGAATGGGCAAAGAGTGGTGTGGGGGATGGGGAAGGCGTTTTTGATAAACGGTTTGCTGCTCACGGGAGGGTAACAGCATTTCTGCTGACTCCTCAGGCCGAGATTTTCTTTTATTTATTTTTCTTCCTTTTCTTCAATTTTTTTTTCTTTTCTTTTCTCTTCTTTCTTCTCTTTCCTTCCTTCCTTCTTTCTTTCTTTTTAAGAAAATCTGATCGGGCGACTTTGTTTGTCTCCCAATATTGAAGGCTCCGGACTTCACGTTTTGTTTTTGTTCAAAGAAAGCGTTTCCCTCCTTCTGCAGGACTGCTCTTTTCATCATAAGCACGACGAAGGGGTTCAGCACTCTTTAGTATAAATAAACCGGGCACCTCTCCAGCGTATATATTTGGGGAAGCCCACCCCAGTCCCATTCTTTTTCCTGGGGTTCCTCGATTTTAGGATCCTCCCGTCTGACGGCTAGAACCTTGCACTTACTAAGAGCATATATTTTACATTAAAGAGGGTACAAGGAGAGTCTCGAAATGCAGACATTCTACCAAGCCTGTTTTTCCTTTCTTTTTCTTGCTCGCTTCCCCTTCCTGGCCCCTGCTCCCCGACCCGGGCCCCCTTTCCCACTGCGCCCGCCGCTCATGAACTTGTTTCTGGAGGAGCGGAAGGCGCGGGCTCCCAACCATCTCGCAGCCCCAGGTAAGGATTAAGGCGTTTGCGGGCAGTGGCGGATCCCCACCTGCTGCGGCGGCCGCAGGGCGTCAGAGCGGAGGTCCGGGGGTCCTGGGGAGGCTGGGGCCAGGCGGGGCCGAGAGACCCACCGGGGAGTGGGCGAGGCGCGCCGAGCGGAGGAGCGGAGGGCTGTCGCCACCAGCCCGAGACTCCTTCACCGACGACGGCAGGCAGTTTAGAAGGCACCAGGACGGGGGAAGGGGGGAGGGGAGACACGAAAAACGGGGGTGCACGGGAGGACAAGGCCACGGTCCGGCTGCCCAGACCCCAGTGCTGGGGCCGGGGCGCTCCAGTGTGCCCTGTGCTTGGAACACCTCCCCGCCCCCCAACCAAGAGCTTGACTGTCCCTGGGTCTAAGCTCCGCAGCCTGTGCTGACTATGCTTGCCCACCTGACCCCCGCCGGGCTCAGGGAGGCCGAGGTCACGGTCTCAGGCCTGGGTGGAGGCCCCTCCTCCCCAGCGCCCGCCGGCTGGGCTCGGACCCAGCCCGCTCCCGGAGTCCCAGTCCTTGATCGAGCCAGTCAGTGGTGGCGGTGGAAAGGCCGGGACGGGAGGGTGGGCAGTCAGCTGAGGCCGGCACTTTCGAGGGGAGACAGTTCCAGAAGGATTTCTGGGCCCCGCAGGCTGGCCGGGGCGCGCCATGGGTGCTGCAGAGGAGACGCAGGGCTGTCTGCAACCTGGAAGGGGCGCGCCGAGGTAAACTTAAGCAGCCGCTGGTCAGCTGCACGCACCCCAGCTCCCAGCAGCGCCCACTCCCACCTCCACGGGGCCGTCCTCCCCCCCCCCACTGGTGCCCTCTCCCCTCCACTTTTCTCCCGAGTGGGCCCTGCTTGGTCTTGCCACCTCACTCTGGGAAGTGGCAAACCACAGAGGGAAGGTGGGGGAGCCTTTTCCTCCAGCAGCCCCCCCAGGCGCAGTCCTTAGAGGTAGGCAGGACCCCAGGGCCCAGCCTCCGCAGGGGCATCCCCCTGAGCCCAAGGCAGGGGTGCACCGCAGAAGAGAGCCTCTCCAACGAGGACTGACACAGAAGGGGAGAAAGGCACGGGAAGGGTTAATTGTGGGCCCGGAGACCGGAGCTGGCGGTTGGGCCTCAGTCCCCCACCTCTGGGGCAAACCGCTGAGGCTTCCATCCAGAGGACCCCTCCTGGGTCTGGGCTTTACCGCCTACAGCCAGGCGGGAGGCGAGACTCTCCAGCGGGGCTCTGCCCTGGCTGCCTTCTCTGAAGTCCAGAGGCAGTCACTGACGAAGCTGGCCCCTTTTTTTAAAAAGACCCAACCTTCAGAATGATGTAAATTTAAAGGAAAGAGGGGGGTGGTGGGGACGGTCCCAAAACAGAATGTGAGCATCTTGGTATTAAATCCCAAATGAAAAAGCAGCAAAAATCATTTTTCCCACTTTTCGTTATCATGGATGGCTATGGAATTCTGCAGTGTGTTCTTGAGGCTGCGTGGTGTGCTAACTTCTGAAAGCAGCTTGATGTGCCCCAGAGAAATTGTTTCCTGCTTGCTGCTTTCTACAGTATGCCGGGAGCTTTCAGTATTGTAGATATAGGGGGCATCATCAGAAGGGAGCATTTATAAGTACAAAGTGTTGTCTACAACATGGTGGGAGTGGGTCCTTGCACAGGGTAGTTTTGGTTTATTAAGTTAAATTAAAAGTGAATTATTTTGAAATGACCAACTTACCAGCTTTCCTTGTTCCACCAGATACCACCGTCTTTTCATTTCATTACAGGTGGAAATGACATTTTTAGGGTCCTCCATTATGTGTCTAAGCCACCTCCTGACATTTTTTAGTAGACAGCTTTTTTTTTCCTTAGGTATCAGGATATTTTTTGTTATGAGGTTTACCGAGATGAAAAAGGGCTGGTAAAAATACCGACCTCGCAATTAAATTGACTCTGGATACCAAAGTGAAAATAATCATCTGGTATTAATCAAGTTATGTCTCTGCTTCTTGTTGAGGAAAAATATAGTGACGATTTGCTTTCCTTTTCATCTGAAAAGAACTGTAAGATGTTGAATGTTCCATAAAACTCCCTACCCTTATGAGACAATTTTTGTTCAATTAATCAAAATGCGTATTTTCATGCTGGACATAGTTACATCAGAAAGAAAATTTGCTGCGGCCACTCTAACCGTGTTTTAAACAACCCCACGGTAACGCGTAACAGCTGATGACCTTGCACACTGCGTCGATCTTCAATAATATCATTGTCATTACTGTTATTATCTGGTGTTAAATTGTTGCCAGAATCAATGCAAGTCTACTTCTTTGAATATATTCTATCTCACTGTTGTTTTTTAACATCTTTGTTAAGAGGCCAATTAATTTCCGACTCATAGCTCCAGTAGAGTTTACATATAAGAGGGCTTCCTGACTTTATTATTTTTTTTAATGCTGTATTTCACCTTTGAAAGAAAGGGAGGGAAGTAAATAGCATGTGACATAAACAACTTGGGGCTTCAGGGGCTATGGAGTGATCCCCTACCCTGATTTAAAAAATCAAATATACCAAAACTCAGACTGCAAATACTTGTTTAATTTCTCATTTTCAACTGAGTATCAGGACTGGTTTTTTTTTTTTTTTTAAATTTTTATTTTTTCTGGAATCCTACTAGGATAGATAGCTTAGCCACCAGTCCACAGTCACTGGAATCAGAGGAATTTTTTCTAAGTGGACTATCAAGGCCTTGATGAGGAGAATATCTTAATGTGTCTGTCTGTTTGTTTGTTTTCTTCTAGATTTGTCGGTGTCAATGCATCTGACATCAACTATTCTGCAGGCCGATATGACCCTTCAGTCAAGACCCCCTTTGATGTAGGTTTTGAAGGTGTGGGAGAGGTGGTAGCCTTAGGCCTGTCAGCCAGTGCCAGCTATGCCGTTGGCCAAGCGGTGACTTATATGGCCCCCGGCTCCTTCGCTGAGTACACAGTGGTGCCTGCCCGAGCTGCAGCTCCCGTGGCCTCCGTGCAGCCTGAGTATGTCTCCCTGCCAGTAAGTGCTACCACTGCATACATCAGCCTGAATGAGCTTGGAGGGCTGTCAGAAGGGACAAAAGTTTTGGTGACAGCGGCAGCTGGGGGGACAGGCCAGTTCGCCGTGCAGTTTGCAAAGAAGGCCAAGTGCCATGTAATCGGCACCTGCTCTTCCGATAAAAAATCCACTTTTCTGAAATCCATTGGCTGCGATCGTCCCATCAACTATAAGACCGAGCCTGTGAGCATTGTCTTGAAGCAGGAGTACCCCAAAGGTGTGGATGTGGTCTACGAATCCATCGGGGGCGCCATGTTCGACTTGGCCCTGGATGCCTTGGCTGTCAAGGGGCGTCTGATAGTCATTGGCTTCATCTCTGGCTACCAGACTCCTACTGGCCTTTCTCCTGTGAAAGCAGGGACATTACCGGCCAAACTGCTGAAGAAATCTGCCAGTGTCCACGGCTTCTTCTTGAACCATTCCCTTTCTCAGTATCAAGCAGCCATGGACCACTTGCTTAAGATGTACGCGGCTGGAGACCTGGTCTGCGAGGTAGACCTTGGAGATCGGTCTGCAGAAGGCAGGTTTATTGGCCTGGAGTCTGTGTTCCGGGCTGTTGATTATATGTACATGGGAAAAAACACTGGAAAAATTGTAGTTGAATTACCTCGCTCTGTCAACAGTAAGCTCTAAAAACAGAACAATGACATAAATCCAAGGAGAAAGAAAATGGGCACTTTACTCTTCAGAATTACTCAAATCAAGTTATTTGTAGATGGCTAATGGGTATGATATTTCTTAAACAAAAGTCAGGAGTTAATGAATAAGTTTCTCTTTATTTCTTTTCTCTCTCTCTTTCTCTCTCTCGCTCTCTTTTTTTTTTTTTTTTTTTTTTGCCCCTCCCTTGAAAAAAATGCTAATAAAAACTTCTCTTGATGGCTCAGAGGTAAAACCGTTATATTCAGTTCTTTGGTCCTGCACCGTCTCATTCCAGATTTTATTGTTCCAGAGAATTAAATTAATTCCTGATGCAAGATCCGATCAAATCAGTATGTCTTCAGCTTGATGAGATTTTAAAATCAGTCTTAAAAATAGTCCACAAATTCTTTACTTTGGGAAAGTTTGGTCTTAGGCTAATGAGCAGTTAATAAATGAGAGAACAGAAAGGCTGCCATATATTTTCAGAGTCCATATTCCCAGGAAATGGCCCTCCCTGCCTTTTCTACAAATTACCAACTATCTAAATAATAATTGAGAGGAATTCTCCCAAAACCTTGATTTTGTTAGGTCATTAGAAAAATGACTATTTGAACACAGACCTATTTTTTTTTTAAGTGTCTATTATTTAATGCTTTATGCCCGATTATCCCAGTGAGGCCTGTGTGGAACCCAAAGTTTGTCTCTGCCCTTAAGAAGCAAATTAGTGTTGAAAACCAATAAGACAAAAGCAGGCTTTAGGAAGGGGTACTACAGAGATGGGGGGTGCTTTAAAAACTTCGGACCTGCCCCGGGAAGGGAGCGGTTGTGCTGCATCCACATCCAGGGGGAGGGTCTGCCTAACAAAGGGGCAGCGGTCTTTAGGCATACAGCCAGACATTAATAACAGCAGCCCTCCTCTGCCTGAAGCAGGCTCTAGCAGACAGCCCTGTGCAGAGGAGGGCCTGACGCAATGTAAAATAACAAGACATTCGCTTCATGTTTCAGACTTTCGGACACAGTGTGTTTTCTCTCTGCTCTTGGAAACAGACTAGTGCATGTGGCACAGAACACTGTCCCCGTGTCCCCATCTTACTTCCCCACGCGTTCTGTGGGAATGAGCGGCTCCTCGTCTCCACTGCCCACTGCCGGGGGTCACATGTGAGAGGCACGTCACGAGCCCCATCTGGGGAATTGCGGGCAGCCCACCCGCCCGCCTCCTCACCTTCAGCTGGCAGGGCTGTGGCTTCCAGCGCGTTCAAAGTCCCACCGCGCCTCTCTGGTGGGAGGCAGAGCCCACCCGATTATTTTTCAAAGCCCTGGGTTTCAGCGTCCCTAACCTGCTCCATAAATAGGAACGCAATTAAAGATGCTCCAGGAAACTTGGTGACCGTATTTAATTTTTCTCTCCTCCCATCTTGAGGGGCGAGGAAATCCCACCGCTGAATAGCGGTTAGTATCTGTTTTACAAGATTTACTCATTTTCAGGTGCCTGACGTAGCTGCTAGCATGCATGCACAACAATACAATTTATATGGTAAATGGGACCGAATAATGGCTTCACTGAATGTTATGGCTGCGCTGAAGGGAGATGTCACGGTAAATAGCCACCAAATTATGGATCGTGCCGCAGTGTCACAACCACACTGAAGACAGATAGCACTGGGGGCGATCGCCACTGGGACGTCTGTGAGTTATGAAGAAGGCGGGCGGCCTGATGCGGGGCTCTTTGTGTCCTCGTTAGGGCAGGGGGTGCCGGGGCAGGGTGCGAGAGGAGCGGCCCAGCGTGGCGCTCGGGGGTCCTCTGTCCCTTTCCGACCCAGCAGCTCCGGCCACATGAAGGAGACTTTTCTGCCCGCTTTCAGCAGCGCCCGCGCACGCGGGGCAGGGGACAGGTTCTGGGAATGCTCAGTGCCCAGGAAGTGACCGGCCACGGGCGGACACTGCGATCCACCCGTGCCATCCACGGAGGTGATGCGATTTCACGGGGCATCTGTTGCTTCCCACGCAGATAGATGTGCGCGGTCTGAACCGGGCCGCCCCTCTCCCCCCACGGAGGCTCCAGGAGCAAGGACCCCGCCAGCTGAACTGCTGCTTCAAACTGCAGTGCGTCCCGGTTTCTTTCATTTTAATGGGAGGGTAATAAAGATGAAAGACCAGCATTTCAGCTGATGGATCCCTTAAGCTACAGAATAGAAATTTATGATGTTTTGAAGGAATAGACGAAATTCAGCGATGTAAAAAAAAAAAAAAATTTCAAACAACGAAGTCTAAAATAAAATATAATCTGAAAACCTCATGCTCACTTTCCCCAAACTCAGGAACTACAGTGCATGCTGTTTTCATTTATTCTTAGAAAACAAGCATGAAGGATTCCGCCCATTCAGATAATGCCAAAAATATGTTTAAACTTTTTTTTTTCTTATTCTTCTGAAAAATGATTTGTAAATTGAGGGTCATAGTTCAGTATCAGTTTCATCTTCTGGGATTATCGTTCAGGACGAGCCTGTAATGGGAGGTGAAATGGTGCGACACGCTCACACCCCTTCCTGAACTGCATTACATATCACAGAACGTACATCCGTAACTCAGGGCAATTGTCAGTCTTTGTGTTAGAGACAGGGCTGGGGCTGAGCGATCCTGGGGGATGAGTTATTTCTCGGTTCTCAGGGTGGCCTTCTCTGCACCTCAGCCTTGAGGTCTCCAGCTGGGCAGATGGAGGGGTTTGACTTTGAGGAAGCCATTCCTTGCCACTCCGTTGTGACTTCTAAAAAAGCAAGTGCTATATTCCTTCACATTTGTTTTGCATGCAAAAAAAAAAAAATGCCAACAGTGTCTTTTCGGGTCTCTTTGACGATGACTCCTGCTAGTAAATATGGTCATCATTTAAAAAAAAAAAATTGTTTTTTTCAGGGAATAGTTCACAAAGAAATGACATGGAAGTTTTGCTTGATATGCTCTATACATTGTTATTATATGATCTCATCTGAATACAGTTTCTCCAGAGTAGGATAGAGCCTCTGTAAATGGTCATTAGTATTACATTCAGTATTTATCTAATGAAAGTGCAGTGACAAGTAGCTGCTGCTTATTAAAATGAAAATCCTGCATTATGTACTTAAGGAACATTCTGGCTAATGAGGGTGTAATGTCCTCAGTACAACACAGACCTTCTTTTTGCGTTCCCCACCACAAGACGCTGGAAACTTGACAAATGATATCATTTAAGACACATGCCTGCCTTAGGGACCTGCTTTTTGGCTTCCTGTTTCTGGCTTTTATTTGGGTAACATTTCTAATGACCACCCGACTTGTAACGGGTAATGTTTTAACCCCTTCATAGAGTTCCCAATTAGCATGAATTTACTACATTCAGGGTTTCCTTTAAAATGGGGCAGGGGGTGTTTAGTACTGAAAATATTTTTCTTGATCACTTTACCACATGTACATATGGGACAAATACCACATTTTAGATTTATATAAAAACAGATGAGCAACATGCAACTTTCAGAAAAAAACACGACAGAAAAAGACCAAACACAATCAATTGTGGATGATAATTTCCTAGGGGCTACAATTCGCGTTTTATGAATGTAACCCAGATGTGAGATGGCCCGATTTGATGGACTCCTAATCACTGTTCTCTAGCCTTCCCCCTCTCTGCTCTTATTACATATCGTTTGTTATTTATAGTACTTATTTAGAGACATGAAACTTATCTATGCAAACATTATTCGTTAGTTTGGGGGTTGGGGATTTGTTGGGGGTTTTTTTTGAAAGTTCGATTTTCTGTAACTAATGTTTTAGTTAGGGCCCAGAGTTAAATATTTAGGATGATATTTCAGAAGTCAGAGAGGATTTTAAACTTCAAATTCTGTTGCTTCCTAGACCTTTAGCATTGTTATTTCAACTTATAAAGAGAGGAATGTTCAATAAGAGAACCTTATTGCTGTGACCCTGGGCAAAGTATGCAACGTTGTCAAGAGAGGAAGAAAAAAAAAAGACAAAACACTATCCAAAATACGTAAGGAATATTTTTACCAATAAGTAATTCTTGCCAGTAGAGAGTTGATACTCAGGGAAAGTCAGATAAAGTGTGTGCATGAGGTTTCTATGTAACTCCTTCACTGGATCTGTGTATCGCTGGGTTGTGACGGTAAGACTGAGTTCTTTTCTGTCCCCAGAGCAGCGGTTTCTGCCAGCATGGAGCCCCCCCTCAGGGCTGGCTCGGGCTTCTCCAGGGGCGCGGACACTCCCGGACAGCATGTCTTGGATCCCTCACATGGGAGGGTAAGTACTGCATGGAGTACAGTTTGGGGGAACCAGTGTGTGCCTCGTAGGTCCTGAGCAGCACTGAGCCAAAAGCACAGAGATTCCAACAGCCCCCCAAAGTAAGAGTTTCCCTTGAAGGGCACTATCTGACAGTGCCTTTCTGCCAACATGAAATTAAAATAATAATTAAAACACACCCTGCTGACTGGCAGTAGTACCAGTACGAGAGATGGATTGCTGCTTAGAGCTCAGGAAAGGGTTCCATACGATCATTAGCCACTGCCCTGCCTTGCCCTCTGCACCAGAGGGCTACACTCTCTCTTAGAATGACTTGCACGATGATGTCTTTGTCAGTGGGGATGTAGGACCATGTTCAGGGATGCGAGGGCATCCTGCAAAATTCTGCCTAGCCGTCTGCCTGCCCCTGGGAGGTCAGTCAGCGCATCCTTAGAGCTGGAAGGATCCCGGGACACTCTCTGTCCCCTCAGAAGGAGAAGACCCCATTGTCTTTTAAATGGTAAAATTTGGGATTTAAGTGACCATCTACTCCTACCTATTGTATAAATTAAGAAAACAAAGCACAGGAAGGATAGGTGCCTCGTCTAGGGTCGTAGAGTTCACTGGCCTCAGGAGTGAAGCCAGAACACAGGCAGGCGCCCGCCCAGGGCCCCAGACAGTCTTGGGCTTAGCTCCTTCATGCTTTGCCAATGTCCCTCAGTACATGGCTGGTAAGAAGTATTGCAGAATCACAGCTGCCCTTTGTTGCAAATCTTTTTGTGGGTGAGATGACGACCAACCCACGAAGAATATCACGGTTCAGACCACGAAAGTGTGTTCACTCAGGACCCCCTTTAATCGAGCACAAGTCACGGTTCCAGATCATTTGATTCCATGTCATCTAAATATCACACCAGCTTCTGGGGGGGAAAGTACTCAGTGGAATTAATGGCTGAATGCTCACAATTTCATTTTAATGCTACAAGGAAGGTCTCTGTCCTATCAATGCATTCTTGGATGTCCAATCATGAAAATCAAATAAAGAAAATCTTTACTATGTGTTGAGTGGGTTTTTTTTTTTCCTAGAGTCATTTCACCTGCTTATAGTATTGCCTATAGAAAGCTGGTGTTTGACCATCATAATTTTGGTACCAGCAAAACATCTAGAATCTGAATTTGCCGTTCCACCTGAAATCGAATCTGAACCCAGCAGACTCAGGGCTGTAATGGGCGGACACGTGTGCCAGCAGCGGGAAGCCCTGGAAGGGGTGGGGGATGGGGAAAGACACTGGTGGGTTCCACGTGTGCTCACGCGTGGCAGGAATCTCTTGCTGAGAGACAAGCCCTTCAAAACCATAGGACGTGGAACATTCATGCCTCTCTACATCAGCCTTGCCTTCCTTGAACTCATGCATAACAAGTGCAAACTTTCAACTTTACCCGAACAAATCCTTTCCCAATAGAAATAGCTTCCTTTAGCATTGAACAAAACACTTCCCGGGAACAGCAACAATGTCAAAGGCAATCTCATTTCGTAGAAAGCCTCAGTTCCCACCAGGGGACTGGAAGCAACAGTGGCCCCTCTCTATGTTGTTGGAATTTACATTTGGAAATTGAATTGTCTCCTTGAGGGTCTTTCCTCAAAGTACCTTTTGGAGAATTTCTTACATGTAGGTACAGCAGTGTACGTGGAAGGAGACAGAGCCGAGCCAGGACCAGTGTCCCCCCAGCTGGAAAATACGCTCATTCTCTAGGAGTAAATAAACTGTCATTCCTGAGGAATATTCGTTGTTCCAACTTGTACGTGCACTTTACTTGCCATCTTGAAACGTGCTTCCAGACTTGACCAGTTGAAAACAAGGTCACTATCTTCCCCTCTTTTATTATTAGATAAGCAAAGAGGGATAGAGGAGTGATCCCCATTTCAGAGATGGGAAGAGTCAAGTGCAGAGAAATGATTTGCCTTTGATCACTCAGCCACTGGCTGGACAGAGCCTGGGGCCCTTGGATATAGTTCTCAGACCGAGGCTGTTTTTTTCCCGCTAGGAAATGTTGCTTGTCCAAGTTCACCTTGCACACACGTCACCTGTTGCGAGGCAGGTCCGGAGGGTGCGGGTCTAGGGTGAGGCCTGACCGTCTGTGTTTCCCAGGGGATGCCAAGGCTGCTGCTCTGGGGAACACACTTCCAGGAGGAAGGCACTGGGGTCACACTGCTTTTGAAGAGATTCCCCTCTTGTGAAATACTGCATTAGAAGGCATTTCTGAGCAACCCAGAGGCTACCTGAGTGGGAAATACAAAGACGAGAACACAAGAGAACTATGAAAATGGTCTCCTTTTATCGTCACGGCTCCAACTTCTTCACATGAGCCGTTCCTTCTGAAACTCCGCTGCGACACCCACCGCCCAGCTGCTCTTTACAGCGATCTGTGATGACTGTGTCCAGGCAGGTCTGAAGGCTGCAGAAAGGTAATGGCTGTGTCCTGGGGCTGCTCAGCAAAAGGGGACCACAGAGGCTCTATGTTTTCACTGCCTTTCAAACAGAAGCAGACCTCAAATGGACCTCACCTCTTCTCCGTTCCCTCTGGCTTCCACAGCCAAACTTTGTCATGCCATTGTCCTTCCTTCCCCGGGGTCCCCAGTTAAGCAGCGGTCGTTTTATGGGAGTGCTCAGAGCAAACGCCCTGCATGGGTCTGTCCCCAGCCAGCATGGGGACATCACGAACACACTATTTTACAATTCTCCCAAGGAAAGTGAGAGCACCCAATTCACACCCACTTTCGGATCAGGTCACAGAACAGGCACCATGGCACCACGTGTAGCCTTTCTGTAAAGACTGGCCCATGGAATTTACAGCAATTGAAAAGGCCGTGGCCTTCACTGGGGAAAAGTTACAATCCACACGAGCGTTTCTTAACACGCCAGCGTAGCAATCAGAGGAAGAGCTGTCTAGCTGGGAAAAGGGTAAGAAAGCCTCTCGGAATCAGAATGGAAGCTCACTGAGTTGCAGCCACCGTCTAGGCTGGGAGCAGACAGGTAGCCCCGGGAGGCAAGAGAGCCATGTTCCAGTGCCCAGCTCTGGTGCATGACCCTATGGGATGGAGCGAGACCCCGGGTGGCCCAAGGGAGCGTGCGGCCGTGAGCACCACCCCCCACTCCCCATGTGGGGCTTTGATTGACCGAGTACTCGTGGCCAAGCTACGACCCCCATAGCAGGGGCCTCAGAGTTGAGTAGGAGAAACAAGAGCTTCGCAACCCCACTTGCGATCCCCTGGAGCTGGGTGCAGTTCGGGGAACCAAGATGGGAGGCAGGCACCCAGTGACCTCCAAAAATTCCCGGAGAGGTCAGTGAGGACAGGAGCCCAGTGGGCGCAAGGGGAAGTAGACGGCTCTCGGGTCGGGCTGGGGAGCCGAGAGCTAGCACCTCTTCCGTATGTCAACTTCTTGGGGTCTCCATAGGTCCCCAAACGCAAATCAGAGAAAAGCCAGAGACTCCAGGCTTCCAGGTGGGACCTTTTCCTAGATCAACGAGCTTAAAAAAGATGGGGCTCTCGGT